CACCAGGCCGGGTGGGCGGGGGTGCACGTGCCGCGGGGCGCGCCACACTCCCATTGGTTGGCAGGCGGGGCGCGGCCTCAGAGCCAGCCAGTGAGGGCCGGGGTACCCGAGGCCCGGGCGCGCGCGGGGCGGGGTGTGGCGGACTCAGCGAGGAGTACCGCACGCAGGCGCAGGTCGGCTGGAGACGGTGTTCGGCTAGGCCTGCCCGGCTCTCCGGTGTTGGGGCGTCTGCGCCCCGGAAACGCAAGGGCTCTGTACTCAACCTAGAATGCGTGGCGGGGCGCAGGACGTGCTGAACCTGTGCCGCCAGGGGTTGTGGGGGGAGGCGCTCAGTCCCCCGGCCGGGCCGTGTGTGTCCGCCCGGTTCAGCTCTGCGCCGGCGACAGGAGCGCGCGGGTCCCCTGCAACCAGGTCCGCAGGGTGCGGGGCCCTCCCCGCTCTCCCACCTCCGCCTCCCTCTCGGAGCTCCGGGCCACCCTGCGACCCCCTTACGCGTGAGAACCTTCAGCTCTGCCCCTGAATCCGACCTCTGCTCCGGAGCCCCCAAATCGGACCAGACATGAGCCCCCGCTGGGCAGCCCGCGCCCTCCCTGCATGCATGCTGCGTGCCTCAGTTGTCGTTTTACATTGCACAGTTAAAAAACTGTTGAGGTCACAATGTATATAACATTTTTATACATGGTAGCATCCTCTGGGGTGTTGCAACACACTATTTGTGAAGGTCTCCCCGTGTAGCTGTGTGTGCGCCTGATGCATTTAGATTGGGGCCGATACCGCCTGTTACGCAATCGTCATTTCCTGAGCGAGTCTTCCTACTGTCCTCCAACTCCCCGCTTCCCCGAACTTCTCCCTCCCTCCCCACCTTCCTCTCCCCATTTCCCTTTCTTTACTCCCGTCCCCACCCCACTGGAGACTGAGCCCCGGGGCACTGTACTGCTGAGCTACATCCCCTTCGTATTGTTTTATTTCTTTTCTTGTTTTGTGTTTTTCTTTTTTTTTTTTTTTTCCGGTGTAGTTCCGGCTGGGTTTGAACTTACTGTGTAGCCCAGGCTGACCTTGAACTCACGATGATCCTCCTGCCTCAGCCTCCCAAGTGCTGAGATTACAGGCGTGTGCTACCCCGCCCTGCTATTGTTTTATTTCTGGGACGAGGTGTCATTAAATTGCCCAAACCGGCCTCAAGCCTGGAAATCCACTGTGCCAGGCTGCTTTGATTCTGTTAAATATTAAGCCTTTGTTGTTTTTGCAATTGCAAATATCTTTTCTCAGCCTGTCCTTTGTTGGAAAGAACTCCTAATTTTGATGTCAGTCAAAGCCTGTGTGTGTGTGTGTGTGTGTGTGTGTGTGTGTGTGTGTGAGAGAGAGAGAGAGAGAGAGAGAGAGAGAGAGAGAGAGAGAGAAAGAGAGAGAGAGAGAGAGACAGAGTGAGAGAGTGAGAGAGTGAGAGAGAGAGTGAGAGAGTGAGAGTGTTTTTTTCCATGACGCTGGAGTGGAGCACAAGGCCTGGAGCTTGCTAGTAACCGTTCTACCACTGAGCTGCGCCCCAGCCTACAGTATGCGTTTATGTCCTGCTTTTTGAAGGGGCATTTCTCCCAGTTGTAGTCTTTAAAGTGTTTCTTGGTGACTGCATATTAAAATTAACATTCTTAACTATCTGGTAGGTGTAGTGGTTTGGACACTTAGATTATTTCTGTCCTGTTTCTGCAGACTCCTAGCTAGAACATTTGAGCACCAGACTCACTGTCATTCTCTGTGACGGTTTCTAGCAGCATTCTTAGAGCTCCAGCGTTCTCTTCTTTTTTTTTTTTTTTTCCTTCGGTACCGGGAACCGAACTCACGACCTTGCCCTTGCCAGGCAGGCGCTTTTGCCGCTGAGCTAAATCCCCAGCCCCTCAGCGTTCTCTTCTAAGTGTCATGAAGTGTAGACGACCCTTCTAGTGCCCTCAACGTCACCTCCATGGCCCGCCTCCTGTAAGAATCTTGTCTTTTGCATGACCCCAGGTATCTACCCCTTTGCTTATCACTGACAAGAACCTGTCAGATTTTTTCCAATTTTATATAGTATGATAAAATACAAATAATATGTAATTTACCATTTTATTCATATTAAGTGTGCAACTTAGTGCTATAAATACATTCTTAATGTTGTGCAACTATCACCAACACTCATCTGCAGAGCTCTTCATCTGTAAAACTGAACCGCAATTCCATTAAACATTAACCCTGCATAACCCCAGCTGGTGGCAAACACCACTCTCTGAATAGGACCGTGTACTCCACATAAATAGAATCGTACAGTATTTGTCTTCGTTGTGACTTGCTTGTTTCACTCAGCATGTTTTCAGGATTCATCTGTACTCTAGCATGAGTTGGAATTTCATTCCTTCCTAGAGCTGGGTAGTATTCCATTGTGTGTATATTCATTCTTCTGTCAAGGATCCTTTGAGCTACTTCCACCTTCTGATTATTGTGTTGGTTACACAACAATGTGAGTGTACTTAATGGCAATGAATAATACATTTAAAAACTGGTAAAAATGGTAAGTTCTATATTAAGATTTGGCATCCTTAATCTGAAAACCCAATATGCTCCAATATCTGAAACTTTCTGAGTGCCAACGTAAAGCCACAAGTGGAAAATTTCACACCTACCTTCATATGACAGGTTGTAGTCAGAACATAGGCACACTAAAATATATATATATAT